CTGACTGGCGCCTGCCGCTGTCCCCCCGGATACCATGGCCCCCTCTGCCAGAACACCTGCGTTCTGGGGACCTACGGCCAGGGGTGCCAGGGGCGCTGCCGGTGCGGAACGGGGGGCACCTGCGACCCAGTGACGGGGGAGTGCCTGTGCAAAGATGGATTCACCGGGACACTGTGAGTGAGGTCTCGACGAGCACTCTTTCACGAGTGCCTTTGATCAGGTCATCGACGGCACTGTGCAGGCAGACCGCCAGGAGCTCACGCGCTGTCTCTGCCCCGCCCACAGCTGCGAGACCCTGTGCCTGGCGTACAGATGCCCCAGACGATGCCCCTGCCAGAACGGAGGGCACTGCCAGGGCGTGGGCAACTGCGCCTGTCCGCCTGGCTGGATGGTAGGTTCCCCGTGGAGAGAGTGAGGCCGTGTGTTTCCTTCACCAGTGTGATTAGTGAAATGCAAGCGTGTCTTTTAAGTTTGGCCTGCAACAGCCCCTTCCTCACCTGCCTTTCATTCTCCCTCCCTTTTCTCTTCTCCCTCCTCTTCATTGTTACTTCTCTCCTCCCAATTACTCCTCTCTCCTCTCTCCTCTCTCTCCACTACCTTCTCTTTCTCCTCTCCCTTCTTTTTCTCCTCTCTCTCCTCTCTCTCCTCTCCCTCCTTTTCTGCCTCTCCACTTTCTCCTCTCCTGTCTCTCCCTCCTCTCTCTCGTTCTTCTCTCCTCTCCTGCCTCTCTACTCTCTCCCTCCTCTCCCTCCTCTCTGTCCTTGTCCTCCTCTCTCTCTGTCCAGGGAGCGGTGTGCACTGAGCGCTGTCCGGAGGGGAAGTTTGGCCTGAACTGCTCCCAGGACTGCCTGTGCCACAACAGCAGGGGCTGTGACCCTGAGACTGGAGAGTGCCAGTGCCTCGAAGGCTTCACTGGGGACAGGTCAGCAAGCTCAGCCAGCCCCCCACATGGAATGGCTTCTTCATGGAAGGAGCCATCCCATTGTTCCATTTGATCCCATCAGCCTGTGCCCTCACCTTGGAGCCCTGTTAGGAAAGGTTCAGGGTTTCTCATAGGTGCTGGCAAGGGAGAACCCCTTAAAATCAGGGTGCTGCAGTGTGTGATGTTGGAAGTGTAGGTGGCGATCTTCCATCCGATCCAGAGAACACAAGCTTGTGTCCCACCTGGTGGCCTCGCTAAAGTCCAGCTCAGGCTTGCTCAGTTTAGCATATCTAAATTGGCCACTCAGCTGAACTGACAAAGTAATGGCACCAAAAAACCCGAAACTGCATTTCATGAACCCGTCCAAACTGGAAAGGCTAACTGTTTTGCTGTAAGTGATGTTTGTTAGTTAGTAGGAGGCATTGTGGTGTAGGAGGTGCCGTCCTATGGATGACATGTTAATCTGAGTTCCTGTGTGCTTGCTCATTATGGATCCCATTTTAACCCCAGAGTCCTGGCTAGATTCCAGTTTTGCACAATCTGGCCTCCCAGGAAAATCCTCCTTAATTCAGTCAGTGAAAGCCTCTCACTCCTCCATCTGATGCGTCATGCAGTGTCACCCATGTGGAGCTGTACTTCAGTGGGGTATGAAGGGGGCCCCTCCTGTATTTAAAGTGCTTTGGGATGCACTAATATAAATGCAGTTAATTAAGACTCAGCTCTGTATCGACTGATCCCACACAGTCCTCAAACTCTTCTGACAGGCCCACCTGTACAGCCCATTCACCTTGCAGCTCTCTGTGGGCTCCACAACGCCCCACTGGAGAGCTAACACTGATTGCTGGAGCATCGCATCTCTCAGAGGCATCGCAAACCTGCAGGGGCCTGACAATCGCAGGAGTCACCGTTTGCTGAAAAACTGTGTGTAAAGGCCTGGTGGATGATGGATTGCTCTAGCACGAGTGTAGCAGTACAGTACGCAGTGAGCCCTGTCCCTGCCGTGACATATTTACATCAGTGTGCGTAGTGCTGTGATGTGAGATGAAGCGAGATTTTTACCCAGGTACAGCCCTGGTAGAACCTACTGTACAGCTGCAGATACACCTCAGATCAGGTCCTGTTTATGTTGAAGAGCTGCTAAAACCAAACTTTAAACAACTTTATCTGGTAAATCTGGTTTTTCCAATTCGATTCCTTAGGAGCTGCAGGACTGCTTGATTGTAATTAAAATTGAAGGTACAGGACTGGACCAGGCTGGCTAGTTCTTCTCTAATTGTTGACCAATGATTCTCTTGCAACGTGCAATAGTCCCGCCTGTAGAGCTGACCGATCGGAGATGTTCTGTGCCTCCCTCCGCCCCCAGGTGCCGTGAGGAGTGCCCGGTGGGCCGCTACGGCCAGGACTGCAGCGGGCGCTGCGACTGTGCCAACGGGGCGAGCTGTTTCCACATCAACGGGGCCTGCCTGTGTGAGCCGGGGTTCAGCGGGCCGCTCTGCAAGGACAGGATGTGCCCGCCCGAAAAATACGGGGTGCACTGCCAGCACCCCTGCATCTGTGACGAGCAGCACACTCTCAGGTCAGCAGCGCGCGTCTCCCTGCCGGTCTCGAGAGGAGCTTGACCGCTCGTGTCCTGTCGTTTAGGAAATACTGAATCCAGGATCTGTCACGTCTGCAAGAGCACAGGCAGTGCTGGAGTGACGCTTATCTACCCTGGTGTGATCCGAAAAAAAACAGAACAA